TTAATAATTGCTCATCGAATGCTGATTCCTTATCGTAAATATTCTAAGAAAACAAAATAGGTATTAGTTGTTTATTATTATGTATAATCGAAATTATTACCAAATAAGGCAATGCCTATGAATTGACAATATTAATAAACCTGTTGGCTGTTGAATTAAATATTAAATTAATTTGATTTAAAATCGTTTTAATTATTAAAATGATTTTGATTTTGATATAAAATATCGATTTTAACTTTTTTCAATTTCAAAATAAATTTTGAAAATCGTTACTACGATTTTCTAAAAGTTTTTTTTAACAATTTATGTCGTTAGGAACGATAGTAAAGTGTTTGTTCATGTGTTGTAGTACTACTATTTCGAAATCTGGTTTGAGTATTACGAGTTCTACTAGTTTGTGATGTTTTGTGAATGGCTCTTAAATGAGTATGATGTCTATGTCATTAATTTGACTAAAGTGTAGGGTTCTTCGTTGACTTTGTGGTTTATCGCTGTATTTATTTTGATTACTTTTAATTTAATTATTTATTAAATATCACTACAATTTGTTATACATTGATTGCCACTTATAGTGATCACATTCGTTCAAGAGAACTGTGATCATATAACCGGAAATCATTATAAGCGGCGCTCGAAAATACATTTTTTTTCACCAATTGAAAGCGTGTTCCTACTAGCCATAATACAGTATACCACTACATAATATACTAATAGTACACTGAATGACGGACGAAAACAAACAGGGTATAAAGTGTAAAAATATCGAAGCTTGTGAGAACAAAAACGGTTTCAAACATGTACAAATGTACGATATGAAGTGTCGCTTATTGCGTGGGTTACATTAGATAAGATTAGCTTAATTAAAGTTCACGATTAAGATAATTGTCATTCGTAATAGTTTTCCCTATACACAAAAAGAGGTGATATTATTGTAAATTATACTTATATTTTATATTTCTGATGATTATTTCTGATCACAATAACCGAAAACCTGAACACTGTAAGCGACGAAAAATGCACTTATAATGGCTGTTTGTTCCGTTTCTGGCATTTTTGATCACTATAAGGGACTGATTCTTATAACCAGTGAACACTATAAGCGGATACCACTGTATTATCAAAAATTAAAACCGAATCTTGTAAACCTGACCAACGTCATTTCTCACCAGCACCTTTCTGATGTGTTAATATTATTTGTTTTATATACAAGCCATAGTACATAATGGGCAATTTTGATGCAGGACAAACTATTTTAAATTTATATATGATATACTTTTTTTTTCACTTTCAAAATCGACGACCGCCACGGACCGTTCATCACATTGCTTCGGGGGCTGCCACCATTAGATATAATTAAACTGCATTATGATTTTTCGTGATGACAAATGCGAATGACCAAATTTTATTAACCCATTAACTTTTATTATAGTTAATAGTTCAAAAAATAATACTTTTCTTGATAAAAAAATTCTTACAAATCTAAATGCCTTTTCTATAATAATTTTCTTATTAATTAACAAAATACCAAGGGAGACATTACACCATTAATTTTTTAAAGAGGGCAGCTGTATCTATCTCATCCCAGTTTATGTCTATGCAAGCCAGATACCTATATAATAGTGATACATAGTTTATAATAAGTATATACAAATAAAAAATTCCTTAACTAGGTAAACAAAAATGATTAAAAACAGTTAACAAATTCATTAAAAATAAAAATTACGAAGACATTCAGTGGCATCCATGTAGAGTACCTACCAAGTGGTGCAATTGCACTTATTTTTCGTGGGTCCAATGGCCCACATACATTTGATGGCCCCACTCTGATATCTGGACCAAACACTATAAATGCATAACTATTCATCTGGATTTTCAGATCGTTGAATAAAACGTTAAGAGTTGGCAGTGCCAAATATGCAAACAAATAAAATTATATAATAACTAATATAGATAACTATAATAATGTTGATTGTGTTTGTAATTAGTGTCAGGGCTCAGGAAGCTGCTCCAATATTTATATGCTATTATGTAAAAATGTTATGTAAAACAAATCAACACTTATTCAATTCTTTAAATTAAATCACAGATCAAAATCATTATGTATGTTGTAGTATTATCTATGAAATGTTCAATAATCAATAAGTTATTGTAGTTATAAAACTACCCTGAGCAATACCACACGGTGAAGATTTTTTTTTTTTTAATTTTAATTCAATCAAATGAATATGGTCATATGTATGTATTAAAATTAATTTGGAAGCCCTATAATTATAACTGCACTGATTCATGGAAAACCTATGGGCGTCACTGAAGGCATTTATATTTTATATTTTGAATTATTAAAATAATAGTAAAAAAAATCTGCAATTAGCATAAACTTTTCTAGTAGCACAATTTTTTTTTTTTTTTGTTCAATAAATAAAATATTTAACCAATACACTCACAATTTTTTTTTTTTACGGACAATACCAAATAGCTATAATTTATAAAAGTTTTTAATGGATAAAACAATGTTTGCCAGGCCAGCTAGTATAATATATAATACTTACTAAGTCAGCTAATATCAGGCCCATATACAAGGGGGGGGGGTTTGGTGTTCAAACCTACCCTACATCTTTAAAGTAGGTATATATTTATAAGATAACAAAAACTAACTACATACCATGTATAAATGTAATATGTATAATTTTACAACTATAATTTAAGTATTTATACATTTTCCTCTAGTCACTATACGTTATCTAAACTATTACCTTAAGTTCGTTTGTAATTTCATAGTACATTACAGAAATACTATTTGCTATAGCATTGCTTTTATGTAAATCTCTACAACAAATAAATGTAGATGTATCCGAGTGTTGAGAATATGTCAATAACTGTGTGCAAGTTATTTATTCAATTGGTGAAAATAGTGAGGAAGAATTCTACAAATTATTTTTAGATGTCAAAAACGTATTGAGTTTAGTAGACAAAACGATTAAAACGCTACAATTAATTAGGTAATCTATCTATTGTAACAATATACCAGCAGATTTGCCAGAACAGAACTATAAGAGATCAATATTTTTGCTGTTTTGTTGTTAACTACTCCAAAAATAATTGAATTGAAAGATTTATAAAACACAATTACATTATTTCTGGTTTGCAAAATTTGATTCCAAATTTTTTAATTAAATTAAATCCAAGTGGCAATGAGTTTAAAAAAGTGCATTGATTTTTACAAAAACTTTTTACCAACTTATGACACTTTTAAATCAGAATTGAAGGTGTGAATGGAAAAATGGAAATCGGTACCCAATAATGAACTTCCTAAATCTGCAATTGATATTTTAGGCGTCATGTTGAAACTTTATCGAAACATTTGGTGTTTAATATCCATAATTGCAACACTCCTGGTGTAGACTTTGCAGAACATTCTTTCTCAACTTTAAGAGGATAAAAAACCTATTTGATGAATAGCTACAGTGAATATCGTCTAACAGATTTAGCTTTATTGACATTTCATTGAAGTTCCCAAATACATATTGAAGAAATAATAATTACATTTTCCAGAATGCCACATAAATTTGATATTCTTTTATGAATTAAAATTGTATTCAAATATTTTTTTAAAGTATTTATAATTTGTATACATTATTTTGTAGTGTATAATATTATAAATCAAATTATAATATAATTATGTATTTTTAGTTCATGTATTAAAAATATTTTAAAAACCCCCCTCCCCTGAAAATTGATCCTAGATATATGCTTGGCTAATATCATATATAATATTTACTAAGTTAACTACATTTATACATATTTACACAAATACAAATTATTTTATCTGGTTTTCTTGACTTCGAATATTCTAGGATTCATTATTGTGAATATTAAGTTCTAGATATAAAAATTACACTTGGGAATTTTTATTTAATATGTTTAATAGTTTAATGTTTAATATTACTTGTTTTTTCAATTATGTATAGTAGGTATGCAAGATCAATATTATTTTTTTAAAATTATTTTTTATGAAGATTAATGTCCCATGAAATTTAGTAATCCAGCAAGTGCAAAATGTAATCAATTACTTATTAGAATTTTTAGCAGAAAAAAAGAAACACTAAAAATAAATGAATACCTACTTGTAATTAAAAAGTACATATTTTATTTCGTAAAATATAATAAATTTACTGTTCTTTAAAAAAAATATGTATGAGTTAATCAACAGTAGAGAACATACTTACTTAATCCTCATTATAAAAAGAAAAATAACAATGTTGAAATGTATCCAGACTTAATTCTTATACTAAAATCATTAACATTAGACATTAAATGAGTTTTAATAAAATTTATTTTTTATGGATTGATATGTTACAAAATAAACATAGATGTATACATTTTAATGATTATTAAATATTATTATTATTTTTATGATTATTACAATTTCATAAGTATCAACCAAAAAATATAGTAAACCAGTTAATTTTATAAATAAAGAATAATGGAGTGCATTCCATAACAAAATAAAAAGCCGATTCTCATGGAAATTGTTCGAATAATATCACTCAGCAAACTACTAACTTATGACACAAGTGAACACAGACAACAATAAATTAATGAACATAATCGCAAAATGGCACTTCAAAAATATATAAAAAAAAATGAAAATGAATTTCTGATTTCATTATTGTACCCATGATAGTTATCAAATTAGCCAAAGGCGTACTCAAGGGGAGGTTTGAGTCCAGACCCCCCATTGAAATTTCTACATACTCAATGATTTAATAGTAAATAGTATAATAATAGTATAGGTATAATGTATTTTAATTTCCTATTATCTTTAATATACAAAGTTTATAGATTATATAATATACCTATAATGTATAAACCATACTATAGTATATTAACAGTAATTTGTTGGTATTGAGTTAAACTATAATTATAATTAGTGAACAGATAAAATAAAAATTTTGGACGCCTCCTCCATCAAAAATTCTTAGGTACGGTTCTGAAATTACCTTTATTCGTTGTCCCGACTTGTGGCATTTAAGTGCGTACGTGTTCAACGACAAATACAGGTAATGTTATACTGTACGTATTAGAGATTTCTTCGTCCTGGATGATAGAAAAAAAATAAGTTTCTCGACGAAGTTAAATAGCAAAAAATAATTAAAATAACAGCGATAATTTATAATACGATTCAACGAAAATAAATTATTATTTCGACTGCTAACACGAAGTACGAAGCGGATCGGAACGCTGAAAACTACTATAATAATTCAAGACTGCCATCAGCATGAACGCCATGAACATTTTTTTTTAATAATATTGTTTGATGTTTCCTATTAGTCTGACATATGAATAATATATTACATAGTATTTTATACAATACACATTATATATATATATATATATATATATATATTAGTTGCGGTCTCACGAGCACGACTGATAAACTGGTACCTACTCATAGGTAGCGCTCCTTGCTTTATTCTTCATTCCGAACTACTGCAACAGCTAATACACGCCATCACGTCACATGTTATTTGTCCACACTCTACACCACAAGCACATGTCTTTAAATGCATAAAATACAGCTAACATTGCAAGAACTGGTATTGTAACTTTATTGATTTTACGGCTGACGCATGACATTTTGAAAGATAAAAAATAAAAAACCAATGATTTGAAGTAATGTTTATATATTAATAATATACATACTTATATCACTATTTCACACAATCCTAAAAAATTGATGAATGTTCAAATATTGAAATATGAAATCGTTAAATGATTTCGAGATTATATTATTGTGCGAGATGTATCCCACTATACGTTCTTATTGCCAAATGAAACTGTAAAACAATAGATGATAGTTATTACATTGAAATTTAAAACGCAACAATAGTGAATGTCTTATAAGATTTTTGTTTTTAATTTTATTAATTTTTAATTAATAATGTATTTAATTTTATTTTTAATGCAACTTAATTTAACGTGTTAATATTAAGAACACAAAATTAATACATTCAAATAAACAAAAATTACACCTTAAAACAAACACATACCTATAATGTTGCATTTAATAATAATAATCCAATGCGTCTATATTTTCGAGAAAAAATGTGTGAAATAAAAACTCGTCGAACGAAAGGTCAATATTAGATTATACATACAAGATATTTAAATCAATGATGTAAGTAACTAGATTATGCAGGTAAAAGAATATCCAACTATAAATGTTAAAAATAACCAAATACACATAGGATTTCGTATACAAAACGCATATTGATAGATAAAGAATTAATCAATTAATGAAAAACAAAGAAATTATTGTGGTTGCTATAGTTGTAAATATTAACATTTTGTCGAAGGACTTAAAACAGTCAACACTTATCTAATACAATATTGACCCGGAATAAGCGAAATCGTTTTTAAATGTATTAATACTGTGAAATATTTGAATAATTTGAATAATTAATTCGGATTAATAGTTACATTTCAATTTTAAGATGTAAATAAAAATAACTTTTTACGGTTAAATATATAATTTACTTTTTAGGTCCCAATGTCCCTTACAGTAAACATTCTTTTGAATTAATTCTGATATCGTTACAAATTGGTTACATTGTTTTAATCATAACTATTAGCCATGATAATGATATAATGAATATAAAAACTATAATATTCAAAATGTGAATCTTATATTATATAATTACAGTATGAAATGTGTCCAAACAGATAGCTTTGTTCTAGAGTTTTTTGACTATAATAAATAACAAAATAATTTTTTTCATGGTTATAACACCATAGTCAATATGTACGAATGATCAATAGTCCCCCAAAACCAGTATCAGTAAGGTAATAACAGCTGTTAAGAATATCCTTCACAATGGACATTTAGCACTTATGGAGTCACATGATAATAAAATAATATAATTTTAGTAATTTATCAATAAGATTAAAATACAAAACACTATTTAATATTAGTAGAAAATGTGTATGTGTCGTTATTTGTAACATTTTTTGGGTAGTTAAGTAGTTATTTCATACGTTGTTTAGGCAGTTTAATAATTATTTGTTTTGGTTAAAGTTTTTAATTTGTTATACCTCTAATAATGACAATATAGGACTTAACTTATGTTTTATTATTATATACAATATATTTATGTTGATCGGTTATTTATTAAATGCATAAGTAATGTTGCAATAGTAATTTTATTGTTACTTAGTCAAAGACTTGCATGTTGACAAATAGTTCCTCGATATGTTGTATGGTATAAACTCAGAATAGAAGTATCTGATAAAGTTGATAATGAAGGTGACTTTGATATATTTATTCCTGATAATCTACCAATATAGACAATATCTACTAATGAATTATGCATACTAAATATTATCCTAGTTTTAAATACAAGCATACCACGAATACATTATCAATTTTCAACAATTGCTAAAATATAAATAAATAAAAGCTTAGCCTAAAGTATTATTATAATTATATACTAGGACCGGTTTCGAATTAAAAATTCATCATCAGATTAATAAAAAGTTAATAAAATTGCGACTGAATATGAAAAAATAAAATCATAATTTAAATGTAAAAATTTATTTCAGAAAAATATTGATCAGATATCCCCAATACTATACAACTACTAATTTCTTATTATATGAAATATTTTCTTGAAAAATCATCCAGTAAAGTTGTCATTTTCTCTAATATTAATTATATGATATAAAATGACAAATAATAATGAAGAAATTTCCCAGACAAACAGGAAAAATTCATAAAATTAAGAATTCTTTAGCATCATATGAAAAATTAATTTTATCAACTACCAATTGGATAAAATTCAAGTATAGATAAAAAGATGGTTCCAATCAAATATATACTTGTTTCAAAATAGTATAGGATGGATAAACCTCATCTGTGGGATATTAATTTTTTTCTAATGTGTGATTCAATTGGAATTATGTTTAATTTCATCATATTTCAAGGCATTAGTACTGATTAAGACACTGTTATTCAAAATATATTTGACTAAGGTATAGCAATAATTATGCAATTTATATATAGTCTAAATAGAAATAGATATGATGTATATTCAGATTACATTTTACTTCTTATACTTTGTTGTATATAATAGCTGACTGATCTACATGGACGCCCCATAGGAAATTTATCAGGAGGAGACATAATTAAATCAAACACTAAAAAGTGAATTAAAAAATGTATTCTAAGCAAACAATAAAATATATCAAAATTATTATGTACACTTTAGTCGTTATTAAATAAAAATTGGCATCTTCACAGTTGTTCAATTGCAAACTTTGTTATAAACTGTTCAATTAATTTTTTCCAGAGGGGACAAATGCCCCGTCTTCCCCCCCCCCCACTGGGTACCCAAGCTAATCTATATATGCAGCTGGTATAAATAGAGTCGATCAATCAAAAAAAATTGGTTTAAATTTCCATTGTTAATGTATAAATGTATATTTATTTAAGCCGAGGTATAATAAATAAAAATCATACTTCAAAAATTTAATTTTGGGTCTAAAGGGTTAAAATATATTTTGTCAAAATAAATTTTATTGTTAGAAAAAAGTATTTATTTTCTTTTTAAACTTTTTTAAGATATAAATCTAAAAGCTTATCTTTAAATAGGTTGGTATTTAACAGAAATAACCATTATGTGAATACAAACAAATAATAACTAATCAAAAATCTATAAGTTCTTAAGTATTTAATATAAGTATATTTCATAGGTGGATACAACAAAATTACTTAATTCTCAGTATATTGAAAAATTTAGATTCATATTGACTGAATACAAAAAAATCATTATTACAATTAGGTAAAAATCATGGAAATTAAAATATATATATAGATGGTGAATAGGGTGTTATTGATATGAGTCAATTTCATTAGAAAATTGATCCAAACCGTTTAATTTCTAAGTAGATACGTAATATGTAATAATTGTACCTTATAAATTATAAGTTGATCATTTTATTTGAATGTTAAAATCCTGAAATTCAAAACTAATGGAAATAAAGAAGAAAAAACTTTTAACCATAAGTATTTTTTAAATTGATGTTTCATTGGTTATAAATTGAAAAAATAACTAACAATTTTTTAACTAGGCAATTGTTTACTATGACATGTATATTATATACATTTTCTCATATGTCAATACTATTATACTATAAAATTATTAAAAAATTATATATTATTTTGAAGTTTATAGATAATAGAATAGTATAACAAAATAATAATAATAATAACAATGATAATATTCTATTATGTTTAAGTCCTTTGTAATAAATTACCATTAAAATTCGTATTTTTTGATATTTGTTACATAACCTCAATATATACTTCACGCTTAAAAGAGATCCTTTCTGATAATTACTTTTCTCTTCTTCAAAAAAGACCCCATGTATAGACGTATATGTATAAACCATATGTATAGTTCATGTAAGTGTGTCCTATCCATTATTCTATTATTTATGGTTGTCCTGTCCTGACTCTTTGTATGATTAGATATATTGATCGATGCATGAAAGTAAAAAAAATAATGTTAACCTTTAAAATAAATTTACTTAACATCAAACGAAAACTGTGTAAAAATGCTATAAATAACAATTAAATTGCCAACATTTATCAAACATACATTTTGCTCAGAAAACGGCGAAATATGTGAAATGTTAATTAGACTTTTCTGCAATCATCATTAAATAATATACAAATGCAACAAGACCGGAACCCTAGTAATGAAATAATATGGGGTTATATAATATATTATATAATATTTTACAGTTGACGATTTCAAGTAATCACATTTTTTACTTCTGGTGCGTTACTAAACGCCCATCGCCTACAGCCAAACAGATCTCACGTAACAGTACCGCATTGCTTGATACCACGAATCAACATAATTAATACATAATATTGCGTTAATTCGTAGAATTATTTATAGTCTTAAGGCAAAAATAATTATTTTCGAACTAATTTTCAATATATTCCATTGAGATTGAAATAAATGATTAATCCTTAAAATTATAAAACAAGGAAATAAATACCATGGATAAGAGTATGAAAGATGACCTATAACTATATTTTACTCTTAATAATCTACTTTCGTAGTATTGAATTCGTGTTTGCAGGACACTCACTGTTGAGTCATAAATGGTCAATCATAATAATTATATTGAATAACATCAAAGCATATAGATAAATAAAAATACTTTTAAATTTAACTGAAATAAAACAGTCTTTTATTTTATACTTTTATTTAAATTCACAAAATTTGGGTAGAAACCTAAAATTGGGGGTCTGGATCCCCCATATCCCAAATTTAAGCTGTGATACATATTTTGTTCGTGGCGTTCGGATTTTGAGTAGCTGTTAATATGCGAGTATACATGCTTACTTATACATAATTTTGATGATTTCATCATAATTATTCCGTATATTAGAATATTTGCTACTGCTATTTACCTAAAAATATATTTAAATATATTTACCTAAATACCTATTTATATTTCTCTGAAATTGTGACGTTAACGATATATATTATTTGTGATAATAATAGCGTTCGACCGTTCGAAGCGGTATTCGTCAATTGCGCCGAATTTGGGACACTACCTTTATAGTAAACATCTATTGCGCCGGTATAACAACTATACCATACAAGTAAAAAACATAATGGCTAAATTATATAAAACTAATAGTATTTAATATATATCGCTTGTTTGCTACAACAATGACATAACACGAAAAACATTATTTTACACAAAACGCATTTGAAAATTTTATTTGCAATGTGATGACAACGCAATAACGCCACAACTG